GAGTATGAGGAACAATTTGTCTTTAATTTGAAAATATGGAAAGACAATTGTACACTGTTGAAACCTAACTTTCCTTTGGGATCCTTTGCCTACAAGGTACCTGCACTTGAAATTGGGCCAGTAACGTGCAAGGTCCCTCTCCTCTGTAGCTGGCTGTGTTTTGTTATTCCGTAAATGGTCTCTGCTTAAGAAAGTTACCTGTTACATAGCTGCTGCTATGCAATTTGATGATAAAAGATTCTAATTTCAATTTACGATCTGCAAATGCCTGAAAAGTGTAAAGGGAAGTAGGAAGGCAACTGAGTTCCCAGGGAGACAGTGGCTGAGTGTGAACATCATCGGACTAGTAATCCAGCAGGCCAGTTTAATACTTTGGGGACATGGAATCAAATGCACTGTAGCAGCTGGTGGAATTAAATTTTAAATTTGGAAATAAAAGCTAGATGACATACAAAATAGGACCTGAAGTAGGCTGTTTTGCCCCCAAGACTGTTTTGTTGTTCAGTAGGATTGCAGCTGATTTGTTTGGTTCAAATTCCACATTTCTATCTACCCCTGCTAAACTTCAACCACAAGATCATAAGATGTAGGAGCAGGATTAGGCTATTCAGATCACTGAGTCTGCTCTGCCATTCGATCGTGGCTGTTGTATTTCTCAACCCAATTCTCCTGCCTTCACCCCATAACCCTTGCTCCCCTTACCAATCAAGAACCTATCTATCTCTATCTTAAATACGATCAATGACTTGTCCTCCATAGCCCCCTGTAGCAATAGCTTTCACAGATTAACTACCCTCTGGGTGAAGAAATCCTTCCTCATCCAAGTTCCAAAGGGTTGTCCCTTCACACGTTGCATCCTAATCTCTCCTAATAGTGAAAACCATCTCCATCTCCACTTTCTCCAGGTCTCCATAATTTTCAATCAGATTCACCCCTCATCCTTCCAAACTCTTGAGTACAGACCCAGAGTCCTCAACTACTCCTCATATGATAAGATCTTCATCCCTGGGATCATTCTTGTAAACCTCCTCTAGATCCCATAGATCCATAGAATCCCTACAGTGTGGAGGCAGGCCATTCAGCCTATCAAGTCCACACCGACCCTCTGAAGAGCATCCCACCACCTACCCTATCTCTGTGTTTTCCAACCTAGACACAATGGGCAATTTAGCATATTGCCAATCGACCAAACATTTTTGGACTGTGGGAGGAAATCGGAGCACCAGAGGAAACCCATGCAGACACGGGGAGAATGTACAAACTGCACACAGACAGTTGCCCGAGGCTAGAATTGAACCCGGGTCCCTGGTGTTGTGAGGCAACAGTGCTAACCACCATGCTTCCCTTCAAGGCTAGCACATCCTTCCTTAGATAAGGAGTCTAAAGCTACTCACGATATTCAAAATACAGACTGGCCACAGTCTTATACACCCTTAGCAATATATTGCTCTTGTGTTCTAGCCCTCTTGAAATGAATGTTAACATTGCAATTTCTTTCTTAACTGCCAACTGAAACTGCCTGTTGACAGTAGAGAACCTTGAACTAGGATTGCTCCGTCCCTTTCTGCTTCAGATTTCTGAAGTCTTTCCACATTTAAAAAATAGCCCATGCCCCTATTCTTCCTACCAAAGTGTTTAACCTCTTACTTTCCTACTTTGTGTTCTATAAATGGGCCATTTCTTTGTCCATTCTCTCCAAGCCCATCCAAGTCCTTCTGCGATCTCCCTGCTTCCTCAACACTATCCCCTCTCCACCTAGCTTTGTGTTATCTGCAATCTTAACAAAAATGCCCCCATTCCTTTGTCCCGATCATTAACGTGTATATCCTCTGCCCTACAATATACCCATCCTAAAAATATTCAAAGACCCTGCCTTCACCATCTTCTGGGGCCTGTCCAACTAAGAGAAACCACTCATTCCAGATATCAATCTCACAAATCTTCTCTTAACTACCTTTAAATCAAGAAGGAAACCAAAACTGCACCCAGTATCTGACGTGGTATTCCCAGTGTCCTGTAAATCTGAAGCATAACATCCTTTTTTGTTCAACTCGTCTCATAACAAAGGATAGCATTATGTTACCCAGAGATAGTAAGAACTGCAGATGCTGACCCCAGCATTATGTTACCCTCCTTGATTACATGCTGGCTATGCAAATTAATCTTTTATGATGCATGCAGTAGAACACACATCCCTCTGCACCTTGGGCTTACACAGTAATTCTGTTTTAATTCTTCCTTTCAAGCTGTACAGCTTGCAACCTACCCACATTGTACTCCATCGGCCAGTCATCAACTCAACCTGTTTATATCCACCAACAAACGCCTTTTGTCATCTTCACAAGATACTTTCCTACTTATCTTTGTGTTGTCTACACATTTCGCTACCATGCCGTCACACATCCATGTTATTAATGTAAACTGTAAAATGTTGAGACCCCTGCAGGTTTCCACATGTCACATGCTGCCAATCAGACAAATATCTAATACTAGGGGTCATACATTTAAGGTTAGAACGGGAAAGTTCAAAGGAGACGTGAGGTGCAAGTTTTTTACATAGGGAATTGTAGGAGCCTGGAACGCACTGCCAGGGGTGGTGATGGAGGCAGATACAATAGGGGCATTTAAGGGACTTTTAGATAAGCACATGAATATACAAGGAATTGGAGGGATATGGACCAGTGGCAGGCAGAAGGGATTAGTTTCATTTGCCGCCATGTTCGGCTCAACATCTTGGGCTGAAGGGCCTGTCCCTGTGCTGTCCAATTCTATGTTCTATCTATTTATGCATTCTGCTTTTTTTTTGCCAGCCAATGATGATAATGCATTATACCCAAACAAAGAGCTTTATTGTCAGCAATAATCTTTGATGTGACACTTTGTCAAGTGTCTTCTGGAAGTTGAAGTACTAAGTCTATTACCTCTCTTTTATCCACAGCGCAAGCGCACATTACTCCTTCAAAGAACTCCAATAAATTGGTCAATAATGCTTCCTCTTTGCAAAGCCATGCTGACTTTCCCAGCTACCTCGGGTTTTTCCAGATGCACAGCTATAACCTCTTGAATGATTGATCCTAACACCTTGCCCATGATAACTGTCAAGCTTTAGTTCCTCGTTTTCTGCCTTCCTTGTTATTTGAATAGAGGGGTTACTGTTTGCTCCTTCCCAGTCTGATGCAACCGTTCATGAATCCAGGAAATTCTGAAAAATTAATACCAATGCATCTGCTACCTCATTAGCTACCTCGTTTATGATCCTAGGATGAAATCCATGTAGACCCACAGATTTGTCAGCCCTCAGCTTCTCCAGTTTGTTTAGTACCACTTCCCACAAGTGATTATAATTTCACTGAATGTCCCTCTCCTTTTCTTTTCCTGATTTATAACTACTATTGGTTTTGTGCCCTGTATAGTGAAGACAAAAAGAATTGTCACTTTTATCCATCGTTTCCCATATCTTCTATGCACTCCCCATTTGTACTCTCTAGAGGACGTACATTCACTTTGAATGTTCTTATCCTTTTTATCTATTTTCACATTCCTAGCTAGCTTCCTTCCGTACTCTAATTTCATCCACAAAACCAATATCATTTGTCAAAAGTACTAATCTGGTGGATTAATATCCTTTAGGGAATGAAATTTGTTGTCTTTCCCTGGACTGGCCAATTTGTGACTCCAAATCCATAATAATATGGTTGGCTCTTGAAACTAAATTGTTGTTTTTCTTTTCAAGTCTATTTCTTGTGCCGTAGTCTTGATAAGAATGAAGCGAAATGTTTTGACTACTTGCCTCTTTTTTAGCATTGTTTAAAGCTATTCACAGAGTACAGTGAATTCATAGAATCATGGAATTGTTATGGTGCAGCAGGAGACCATTCAACCCATTTGCACAGCTCTTTGAATAAACATTATGCTTAGTGCCATTCTTCTGCCTTTTTCCTGTACCCCAGCTCATTTCTATTAAAATAATCATGCAGTGCCTTCTGAACTGCCTCCACTAGGCTGTCAGGCAGTGCATTCCACACCCTAGCTGCACGTTGTATGAAAAAGCTTTTACTTCACATTGCTTTTGCTTCTTTTGCAAATTTGTTCCCTTTTACGGCGGTATGGTGGCTCAGTGGGGGGAGTGGCACGGTGGCTCAGTGGTTAGCACTGCTGCCTCACAGTGCCAGGGACCCAGGTTCGATTCCACCCTCAGGTGACTGTCTATGTGGAGTTTGTACATCCTCTCTATGTCTGCATGAGTTTGTTCCAGTTTCCTCCCACAGTCCAAAGATGTGCAGGCTAGGTGGATTGGCCATACTAAATTGCCCATAGTGTTCAGGGATGTGTAGATTAGGATCACATGGGATGCTCTGAAGGTCAGTGTGGACTTGTTGGGCCAAAGGCCCTGTTTCCACACTGTAGGGATTCTATGATCTATGATTTTACATTCTATAGAATCCCTACAGTGTGGAAACAGGCCATTCGGCCCAACAGGTCCACACCAACTCTCCAAAGAGCATCCCACTCAGAAGCACTCCCCTACTCTAGCCCCGTAACCCTGCATTTCCCATGGCTAATCCACGTAACCTACACATCCCTGGACACTATCGGCAATTTAGCATAGCCAGTCCACCTAACCTGCACATCTTTGGACTGTGGGAGGAAACCAGAGCACCCGAAGAAAGCCAGTGCAGACACAGGGAGAATGTGCAAACTCACAGCAACATGTAAGATGAAGTGTGAATCAACTGCACTGCTTACAATCATTAGCAAAATACCAATTGAAATCTTTAAATGCTGAGGACATCAAAATCTAATGATAAAAAAAATTCAAGTTCTGTCCAATCATTTACTAGTTAATGAAATTTGATTCAAGATGGTGGTGGAGTAGCTTTAGCCGGAGGTCAACTGCTCCATTTGTTTCTTTTTCTTTTCTCCCCCTCTTTCTTGTCTTTTTTTTCTTCTTTCTTCTCTCAGCCTCAGTGCAGAACTAGTGAGATGTTCTCCCGACCCAGGAGTCTTTCAGCAGCCTGTGGCGGTCTCTCAGCCTGGCATCCAAAGTGGCCGGTGCTGACAGCAGGGCCCAGCACATACTCAGGCGATCGGAGGCTGTGAGTGGGTCCTGTCTGGGCATGTTCCAGAAGCAGCAGGAGATCAGAGAGGCAGCAGCAGCAGTGGCATTGTGGCCCGCCGTGGGGAGAGCGAGCGGTGAGGGAGGATTCCTGCTATCTGTGGAGGTGGCGAGAACAAACAGTTGAGGTCTCCTGGAGAGCGAGCTAAGCAGAGGAGATTGGGGCTCCAACAAGGATTCAAAGACTTGAACTTTTAACTTTATTCATTTATTTTTCTATTTTATTTTAGAAAGAATTTTAATGTTAACAATTACTTTATTTCTTTATTTTCTACTTATTTTATGAAGGTCTGCAATGCTTAACTTTTTAAACATTGTTTTTTTTACCACTTTGTACCTAAGTTTTTTGTACTTCGGTACCTTTGTACCTAAGATGGCGCTGTGTGTGGCGACATTAGACACTTTTCACATTTTGACCACTTAAAGGAATAAAAGGGGAAAGCATACAAGAATAAATCAGAAATTTTGAATTTCCACACTGCTAAAGGTGGTCAGAAACAACAGCTAGAGAATACACAAATGTTTTAAACACAGTTGAGAAACTGCAGAAAATATTGTTTTGTTCCAGGACTTTCCAGTTCAGGGTGAGATTGATGGATTAGAAATAGAAACATTATCAGCGGGGGACAGTTTCTCTCTGGCCCGTCATGATATTGAAAACTTCTATAAAATCTCCTGTCAGCCTTCTCCTCAGCAAGGGAAAATGTTCAAACTTCTCCAACCTATATTCATAACTGAAGTTATCGGTTTCTAACTCTGGAAGGAGAAATCTTATTCTGCACTGCGTTCATCCAATGCGTTCACATATTTTCTGAAGTGTGGCACCCAGAATTGTGCAGCTGAGGTGAAACCAGAGTCCTATGTAATTATAAAGCCTCCCTGTTCTTATAATCTTCACAACCCTAGATACTGCTTTATTATCAGCTCTGTACCTGTCCTGCCACATTTAAGGACTGATGCACATGCACCCAGATCTCTCTGCCTCTGCACACCCTGTGGAGTAGTACCTGTTATTTTATACTGTATCTTCATGTTCCTTGTACGTCACACCTCTCTACATTGAAGTTTATCTTCCTACTTCAGCAGTTTGTCATTGTTCTCTTGAAATTCTACCCTTCTCTCAAAGTATGGAAACATTGTAAACTTCAAAACTGTGTACTATACACCAAGGTCTAGATCATTCATACATATCAGAAAAAGCAAATGTCCCTGAGGCGATTCACTATAATTCTTGGAGGAGTGAACTCGGATGGCAGACCCAGCTTCGTGGTGATTGCTGCCACCCTGGCCCATGAGATGGGCAACAACCTTGGAATGGCACATGACTCTGAGTCAGGGACTGTCGATGTCTCGATTCCTCTCGTGGCTGTATTATGGAAGCATTACAGCGGTGAGGGCCAAAGAATTATACAATGCAGAAGAGATCATTCAGCCAATCAAGACTGTACCACCAACTACTACCAACTCTAGTCCCACTTTCCCACGTCTGGTGAATAGCCTTTTTTTTCTATTCATTTGCGGGATGTGGGCGTCGCTGGCTGGCCGGCCAGCATTTCTTGCCCATCACTTGAGAAGGTGGTGGTGAGCTACCTTCTTGAACCGCTGCAGTCCTCCTGCTGTGGGTTTACCCACAATGCTATTAGGGAGGGAATTCCAGGATTTTGACCCTGCGACAGTGAAATGACGGTGGTATATTTCCAGATCAGGATGGTGAGTGACTTGGAGGGGAACTTGGAGGTGATGGTGTTCCCATATATCTGCTGCCCTTGTCCTTCTAGATGGAAGTGGTCGTGAGTTTGGAAGGTGCTGTCTTAGGATCTTTGGTGAAATGCTGCAGTGCATCTTGTAGATAGTACACACTGCTGCTACTGAGCGTTGGTGGTGGAGGGAGTGAATGCTTCTGGATGTAGAGCTAATCAAGTGGGCTGCTTTTCTCCTGGATGCTGTCAAGCTTCTTGAGTGATGTTGGAGCTGCACTCATCCAGGCAAGTGGCGAGTATTCCATCACACTCCTGACTTGTGCCTTGTAGATGGTGGACAGGCTTTGAGGAGTCAGGAGGTGAGTTACTTGCCACAATATTCCTACCTTCTGGCCTGCTCTTGGAGCCACTCTGTTAGTGTGGCATGTCCAGTTGAGTTTCTGGTCCATGATAACCCTCAGGATATTAATAGTGGGGAATCAGTGATGGTAGCACCATTGAATGTCAAGGGGCGGTGGTTAGATTGTCTCTTGTTGGTGATGGTCATAGCCTGGCATTTGTGTGGCATGAATGTAACTTGCCACTTGTCAGCCCAAGCCTGGATACTGTCCAGAACTTGTTGCATGTGAACGTGGACTGCTTCAGTGTCTGAGGAGTCGCAAATGGTGCTGAACATTGTGCAATCATCAGCAAAAATCCCCACTATTCAACATGGTGCTCAGTTACGAGTGGTGCGCCACAAGGATCTGTTCTGGGTCCTCTTTTATTTATGATTTTTGTAAATGATTTGGATGTAGGAGTGGAAGGGTGGATTAATAAGTTCATGGAGGATACGAAGGTGGGTCGAGTTGTGGATAGTGCGGAGGGCTGTTCTAGGTTACAAATGGACATTAATAGGATGCAGAGCTGGGCTGAGGAGTGGCAGATGGCATTTAACCCTGAAAAGTGTGAGGTGATTCATTTTGGAAAGACAAACTTGAAAGCAGAAAGATTATTGGCAGTGTGGAAGAGCAGAGGGATCTTGGAGTTCATATCCACAGTTCCCCGAAAGCTGCCAACCAGGTGGATAGAGTTGTTAAGAAGGCGTATGATGTGTTAGCTTTCATTAATAGAGGGATTGAGTTCAAGAGCCGTGAAGTTATGCTCCAGCTATACAAAAGCCTGGTTTGGCAACATCTGGAGTATTGTGTCCAGTTCTGGTCGCCTCATTACAGGAAAGATGTGGAAGCATTGGAAAAGGTACAGAGGAGATTTACTAGGATGTTGCCTGGAATGGAGGGAAGGCCTTACGAGGAAAGATTGAGAGAGCTACGACTTTTCTCTTTAGAACGACGAAGGATGAGAGGTGACTTGATAGAGGTGTACAAAATGATCACATGTATTGTTAGAGTGGACAGCCAGAGACTTTTTCCTCGGGTGGAGGTAGCTATTACAAGGGGGCATAGTTTTAAAATGAGTGGAGGTAAATATCAGAGGTAGGTTCTTTACTCAGAGAGTGGTAGGGGCGTGGAATGCATTGCCGGAAAGGGTAGTGGAGTCGGCCTCAATAGAGGTATTTAAGCGGCTATTAGATACGCATATGGATGATGGTAAAAGGTAGGGGTGGAGGTGAGATAGACCTTACGTTTAGGATAAAGAACAAAGAAAATTACAGCACAGGAACAGGCCCTTTGGCCCTCCAAGCCTGCACCAATCCAGATCCTCTATCTAAACCTGTCGCCTATTTTCCAGGAATCTGTATCCCTCTGCTCCCTGCCCATTCATGTATCTGTCTAGATACATCTTAAATGATGCTATCGTGCCCGCTTCTACCATCTCTGCTGGCAACGCGTTCCAGGCACCCACCACCCTCTGCGTAAAGAACTTTCCACGCGTATCTCCCTTAAACTTTTCCCCTCTCACCTTGAAATCGTGACCCCTAGTAATTGAGTCCCCCAGTCTGGGAAAAAGCTTCTTGCTATCCACCCTGTCTATACCTCTCATGATTTTGTAGACCTCAATCAGGTCCCCCCTCAACCTCCGTCTTTCTAATATAAATAATCCTAATCTACTCAACTTCTCTTCATAGCTAGTGCCCTCCATTCCAGGCAACCTCCTGGTGAACCTCCTCTGCACCCTGTCCAAAGCATCCACATCCTTTTGGTAATGTGGCGACCAGAACTGTACGCAGTATTCCAATTGTGGTCAAACCAAAGTCCTATACAACTGTAACATGACCTGCCAACTCTTGTACTCAATACCCCATCCGATGAATGAAAGCATGCCGTATGCCTTCTTGACCACTCTATCGACCTGCATTGTCACCTTCAGGGTACGATGGACCTGAACACCCAGATCTCTCTGTGCATCAATTTTCCCCAGGGCTTTTCCATTTACCGTATAGTTCGCTCTTGAATTGGATCTTCCAAAATGCATCACCTCGCATTTGCCTGGATTGAACTCCATCTGCCATTTCTCCACCCAACTCTCCAATCTATCTATAGGGTAAAAGTTTAGGGTAAAAGTTCGGCACAACATCGTGGGCTGAAGGGCCTGTACTGTGCTTTACTGTTCTATGTTCTATGTTCTTCCTCCAACACAAAAAATGTCCATTAACTATTACTCAATCACAGAATCCTTATGGTATGGAAACAGGCCCTTCGACCCAACAAGTCCACACCCACCCAGACCCATCCCCCTATAACCCACCTAATCTACACATCCCTGAACAGTACGAGAAATTTAGCGTGGCCAATCCACCTAATGTGCACATCTTCGGACTATGGGAGGAAACCGGAGCACCTGGAGGAAACCCACGCAGACGGGCAGAATGTGAAAACTTCACACAGACAGTCACCTGAGGCTGGAATCAATCCAGGTCCCTGGCGCTGTGAGGCAGCAGTGCTAACCACTGAGCCACCATGCTGCCCGCGGTGTGTGCTATTTCTCAGCCAGTTTTGTATCCATGTTACTGTTGTCCTTTTTATTCCATGAGCTCTAACTTTGTACACAAGTGTGTTGTGCAACACTGTATCAGACACCTTTTGGAGTTCCACTTATACCACATTGACAGCCTTCTCCTCATCAATTCCAAAATTACAAAATAATCAAGGAGCATAAGGAGGGGAGAAAATAACTATCACTACAGAAAATGTGTTAGAGAAACTAATGGGGTGATGACATAAAAATAGTTGGGAAAGCAAGTGGTGATGGTAGAGGGTTATAAGATAACTTGTGGGAACATGTGAAGTAGTACACTTTGGCTGGAAGAGCCGAGGATTTAAAAATTGTTAAAGTGTGAAAGGCTGTGGAACAGAGGAATTCGGGCTTCCTCGTCCTTGATTCTCAAAAAAACTAGCATCCAAGTTCAGCAGGTGGTAGGAAAGGCAGATTGAATG